CCTTCAAATTACTGGAAGACCCTTCCTTGTTATTTCTGAGATATTTAACAGTGTGGGAATAAGAACCCCAAGAAATCTCATTTCATAAACATCTTTAAAGCTTCTTGTTAAGAGATACCATAGAAAACTTCAAATTTTGGCTAAGAATAGGCTTAAGATGTAGTAGGTGATTCCATTCTAGTGGATGCATCAAGAGTCTGCACTGCTTCTCTCTAATGAATCTTGCCTCAAAGAAATGACTGCAGTTAGCAAAATGAAAATTTCAACTGGTTTTGCTGTTGTTCATCCATGTTTTTTAGGAATATAAAAAAGACCTGGTCATCTCAGTCCAGTTCTTTTTTTCCAAATGTTAGCTTTTCCCACACTTTTTAATACAAAGTGAAGAAGTGTAATGGACATCTATGGAATAATGTATTCAGAGTTTTTTTTACTAATGCTAATTATTAATTTTCATACACGAAATGTGTGTCTGTATACATACGTAATTGCTATAAATTATACAATTTGCTATAAATAAAAAGTTCTGATGTTCTCTTTGCCTATTTAAACATCTGTTTTCTTTTTTAAAGTTGACACCTCCTTAAAGAAAACAGTTCTTTATGCTTTTAAAATACAGTATTGCAATGTATCCTTTATAAAGGAGGATTTGGTATGAACTTGAAGTTTAGAAGTCTTGTCTATTGAAATAATAGAAATCATGGTTGGTAACTTTATATTTATTTTTTTTTTGTGGTATTTTTTTCTTCTTCCTCTTAAAATGTTGTCTTATCTGATAAAAATTGGTAAACAATTTGTGCTCTTTCCTCTTCTTAACTCTTCCAAGACAGTATGCCCAGTTACTGTTAAATCATACAACACCTAACTTTTGACAAAGTTTTTGGTGGTTTTTTGTTTGGGTTTTTTTTTAGTCAGTGGAATAAAACAGATACATTTATTCTCCTTAATAATTAATATCTGTTGCTTTACAGTAGTTACTTTGAGTTTCAGGTCTAGATGCATGTATTTCAAGCTGGTTAGAATATGTTTCTTCAGAGGAGAGCATTTCTTACTGTACAGAACTGCGCTCTTATGAAAAGTCTGAAAGCAGATGTTTATTGAGTTAGTGGGAAGACTGCAGCAGCTTAGCTGAGTTAGATTTTGTGCAAATTTTTTTTTTTTCCTTGCAGACATAGTATGTATGTATGGGAGAATTAGCATTCCAGTGAAATGCTGATCTTTAGTATTGCAGAAGTTGTCCAAAATGTGCTAGTTTAGCCCTGTCAGATTTGGCCTTTTCAGTAGATGAGAGCACTGTTTCTTCTTTCCTCCTTTTTATTTTCTGATGAACCTGTTGGATTGTGGACACAAAATAGTCAGCATTGAAAAATAGTCAAAATAGTCGGCATAAGAAAATCTCACTATAAACTTCAGAATTAATCTTTTTGTATTTTTAATATAGTAATGTGTATGTTTATAGAAAAAAGAAAATGTTCCAAATAGTAGTTTAATGTATAGTGAAAACTGTCTGGTGTTTTAATTTATATAGACCCTTTTATTGCCTTAGACCCATTTATTGCTTTAGGTAACAAGCTTAATAAAATTCATGCTAAATCTTTGACATGCTTGTTAAAATATTCCTGATTTGTAAACATTGTTAAGTATCTTTTTATTGCATGTTGAAGCAGAAATATGCATATTACAGTACGTTGTAAAGGCCAGACCATGATATCTTAACTGTGTATAACAAATTCTTCTGCTTAATGTTTTCTCTGTCTTTTTTTGTTGTGGTTTATTTTATTTTAGGTTGGTTGGAGTACTGCAAGAGACTATTACACATTTCTTTGGTCACCTATGCCAGAAAATTATGTGGAAGGATCAACTGTTAACTGTGTGCTGACTTTTCAAGGTGAATATAAAGCAGTATCTACCTGTATTTTGCAGCCTACACAACTTTTTAAATACTTACCTGCTCATGACATTGCTGAGGATTGAATAATAGTTCTAGACTTTTACAAACGTAAATTGGAGGAGAATTTTTCACACTTCACTGGGTGAAGTTCAGTCTTATTTTAGGTGTCAAGAAAATTGTAAGGGGAAGCGTGTGACTTACGTTTTTACATAGTAATGGGCAATATTAATGACAGATAGAGAAGCTTAGCTGAAAAATGCTAAAATACAGAAAATTACTTTGTTTAATCATCAGCAGCGCTTTTTAATCTTGGCATCTCAACACATTGTGTCTTTACATTGTCTTTAGTCTCTGGACTTTAAACATTGCTGTCATTGTAGAGCGATTCTTGTCAGAGTAAATAATGTAAATGAAGGTTTGGTGAAGATTCAGAATAGTCAGAGTTGCAGAGGGCCTTTTGACATTGAGGAATTGATGAAAATGAAGTTTTTAAAAAAAGAATTAAGAACAAAACAAAAAATGTTATACCACTGTACAAATCTATAATATAACTGTATTTTCAACACTGTGTGGAGATCAGATCCTCTCCCTCCTCTTTGCAATATCAAAAAAGATCTGGTAGAACAAATGAACAAAGCGCAACAAGGAAGATGAAAAATTAAGAAATAGCTTCTGTATAAAGGTGTGGAGTTACAAAGATGGGAGCCATACTCTTCTCATTAAATATGAAAAGGGACCGTGGCCATGGATTGTGGCTTGAGAGGTTTACGTCTGGCATTAGGAAGAACTTTTTTACCCAGAGGGAGTAGAACAACACTTGAACATGTATCCCTGGTTTGGAAGGATGGGAATTCCACGCGGTTGCTTAGACACAGTCACGGTAGTCTGACTGGTGCTGACAACAGTCTCTTGAGTGGGAAGCTGGACTAGGTGACCTTCAGAATTTCCTTCCAGGGTTTTCAGCCTGGGAAAGGGAAAGGATGAGAAGTGACTGAGGTCTCTAAAATCAGCTACCCATGGCATGAGTGGATTATCCATTGTTCCTATTTAAAGAAGTAGGAGCTAGTGAAGTACGCTACCGAGTGACAGGTTGAAAATAGAGATAGAGATGATACTTATATAACACAGTCAATGTGCAGAACTTCTTGCCACAAGACATTATGAATGTCAAAAATCTACACACGTTCAGAGTTGCATGTAAAAAGAGCACCTCTATTAAACTTGTTTAATGCTTTTCTGATTACTAATAGAATTTTATGTACCATCTTATGTTCTTTTTTGGTTCCCAGACTTGGCTTTAGTCTTTGTGCCTGTCTATTGCTTAAAATATATAGAAAAAAATAATAATTGAAGTCCTGAAATGACTACTGTCTTAACTTAATTGTCTTGTTAAAACTGCAAATGATAGTTGCAAATAGCGATAACTTTCATGAGTCCACTGTTCTTTCTGTTAAGCTGAGTCATTTTTTTCTGGTACTTTTGATGATGATGACGTCCATGTGATCTGACCATTTTATACCCTTGAAATCTATGAAAAGTATGTGTGCTCTGTAGGAACTGAAAGGAAGTCGTTAGTTTCTTTTACAGTTACCAAAAATTCACTGAATGAATGAAATTGGGTTGGACTGAAACTAGAAGTGACCTGGAAACTTAGGACTCTACATGCCATTATCAGTCCTTTGTACTTTACCACATATGAAGAGACCTGGTAACTCTGTCCCATCTGTTACATTCCATGCTGACAATCCTCCACTTTTATAGTGCTGCCAGATTTAATCTCCATTCAGATAGTCTCCCAGTTGTGTTTTGCAAGATATTTTAGTGCTGTTGAGATGAGATCAGTAGAGCTTACAGGAGCTTAATTAACTGAGATAAGTAGTAAATGTTGTACAACTTGCTTTAAATACTTACTTTTTTTTTAAAGATCAAGTAGGTGTGCGCGAAGAAAATAATCAGGAATCTGTTCTCTCCAGTACATGTTAGGTACAAGAGAAAAAACTTTAAGTAGTTATCAGTTTGTCTGAAGCAATATTAAAACTTGCTGGAGCTGCAAAGTAGATTGTTCTGAATTCATTTCTGCATAATGTCACCATGTTTAAGCATTGAATCAGCTAAATTGAACGGCAATGCCATACAGGAAAGTGTAATCATGTCCAGAAGAACAGAATCCTCAGGTTTTGAGATTGAGGTACTATTCCCTGAGCTACAGTTAATAAAGTATAAGAGTAATGGAAACATGAAGTGCTTGGTACAAGAACTATCCATATAGCACAGGTAATGTTTTACCATTTTTAGGAAAAGTAGCTAAGAGTACTGGGAAAAGTCTTCCAGGAATTTGGAATAAAAGTTGGTGAATAGAAATTAATGATAAAGTTAGAAAGGGGGCAGGTTGAATTGTGGTGAAATATGAACAGAAATGAGTGATGTCACCTGCTGAATTGAACATTAGCCGAAGATTTATTATCCTAGTATCATACTGAAGCTGGCTAGGGTATCTGATAATTAAGTGTTCAGTTGAATAGTCACTCAGAAAGTCGTCTTAAATAATTTGCTGGGAGCATGTAGTATTACATAACTACAAGAAACATGATTTATTCTTACCTTGCGAAGTCCAGAATATTTATTTTTTTTTTAAATTAAAAAAAAGCCGTTTCTTAAACTCTCCTGCCCCCCTCCATACTTGCAGCTTGTGTCATCCATTCAGAACTTTCCTGTGCTTTGGCATTTAAAAATAGCAAAAGTAAATTGTGGTTACTCCACCAAAAAAAAATGCAAAAAATATTGAACCTGGTAAAGTTGCAGATGTCCTGTCACTGCGTGTTATTCTGTCTTTGTCTGTTGTCTTTGGTTGTATGGGTATAACAGGGCCAAAAATTTGCTTACTTTTTGTTCTGTGATTGTACAACAGTTACATAACAATGTGGTCCTGATCCAGCTTCAGGGCATCTGATTGCTAATGATTGTATCTGTTTCATAAATATATAAACAGCAGCTATTACCTAATGTATATAAGGTAATGTGTACATATAGCACGTATTACCTGACACTGTTTTGACGTTTGTCTTAAGAGGTAGGAGAAATTGTTGGGGGTTGAAAGTTACTAAATAGGATGACTTTTCCTTTCTGCGGTTTTGGTGATTTGTCTGTGCCTTACTGAGGTAATGAGCATGAAATTCCTAAGTCAAACATGATCGGATAATCTGTTTCCAGATGGAGACTTTTATGTTTATGTAGAATGTTTCTTCAGATATGAATTTATTTTGATAGGATATTATCTACCAAATGATGATGGAGAATTTTACCAGTTCTGTTACGTGACTCATAAAGGAGAAATCCGTGGAGCAAGCACACCTTTCCAGTTTCGTACCTCTTCTCCTGTTGAAGAATTGCTCACTATGGAAGATGAAGGAAACTCTGATATGTTAGTGGTGACCACAAAAGCTGGACTACTTGAGGTTTGAGTCAACAATTCTTAAAGTGTTATCGACTACTTATTTTTTTGTGCATACATATACACATACATTCACAGGTATTGAAGAACAAACAAGGAGAAAAAAACCCTACATATGTATGTGTAATGTATGTATTTCTGCCTTGTTCTCCACTATTTGATTGGAGTTCAGAACATTTGCTGGTCAAATAATTAAAGATTTTAAACTGTTTACAGGTATGGTATAGCATTAAGCATAGGCTGGGAAACCATAAGAGAGTAGATGGTAGCCCATCTCTCATGTCTGTACCCTCCAACTAACTGAAGGGGGGAACATACCCTTTCTGTGAAATGGTGCTCGTTGTAAGAAAAACAAATTACAGAGCCAGTATACTTCTATTTGTGCACAAGTAAAGAGCCCTGGAAACTAAGCTGAATAATTGCAGGTGCCTGAGTATATTAGAATAGCTCCTGTTTTATTTAAAGCAGTGTTCTATGTCATGTTCCTTGTTAGATGGATGTGGTTAGACTTGTATGCTTACATCCAGAGTCAAGATGTTTCCATTTGCTTGTTGATATTTTGTAGGCTGAAAACTACTTAAAAAAACCCCAACCAACCCCCAAACAAACAAAATAAAAAATAAACCCAAAACCAACTTAATTGAGCAGTTTTTCAATAAGCAACTCATACAGTACAGTTTCCTTACCTTGCCATCAGGTGTCTTATCCTTTTGTCAGTTACGTCTAGGCACATACATGCTGTTTATTTGATTTACAGTTCTCAAAATTCAGGGATAAGAGACTTAGTACAGAGATACATCTGGGATATTTTTGCTTTTCAGATATGTACTCATAGTACTAAAATTAAAGAAGGAATTTTTCAAATGTTCTTATTTATCTTGGTTCATAGAATGGTTTGGGTTGGAAGGGACCTTTAAAGATCATCTAGTCCAACCCCCCTGCAGTGAGCAGGGACATTTTCAACGAGATCGAGTTGCTCAGTGCCCCGTCCAACCTGAGCTTGAATGTTTCCAGGAGTGTAGCATCTACCACCTCTCTGGGCAACCTGTTTCAGTGTTTCACCACCCTCATTGTAAAAAATTTTTTCTAGTCTAAATCTACCCTATTTTATTTTAAAACCATTAGCCCATGTCCTGTCACAACAGGCCGTGCTAGAAAGTCTATCCCCATCTTTCCTATAAGTTCCCTTTAGGTATTGAAAGGCCGCAGTTCATATGCTGATCCTTAGTTTTGTGTGTGTTCATTTTTTTTAGTGAAATTCCTCAAACATTGCTTTAGAGAGTGTGTGTGGGTCTCTACACTCAGCAGCCGTTTTTTCACCAAACTGTCATCATAATTAGCTCCTCCATAGTTGTTGTCACTTGGGAACAGTAAAGGCACTTCACTTAAGGAAGGAAAACTTGAGTATAAATCAAGACACTGCAAAGTGTGCTGTCTAATGGTAATGTAGTACTATTCAGTTAAAGCAATGAAACTTCAGAAATTTGGGAATAAGGGGAAAACTGGGAAATAACCTAGCTAGGGGGCAGACATTTTGTACTTCTGCTCAAATACTAGAGTAATTTGTTATCCACTTATTTGTTAGGAATGAAGGGGGGAAAAATTACCAAAACCCAGTGGTTTTGTTTTTACAGTTTAAAATTGAAAAAATAATAAAAGAAAAAGAAGAGCTGTTAAAGGTAACTTCTGTTCTGGAAAAGGAAACGGCACAACTCAGAGATCAAGTTGAAAGACTGGAAAAAGAACTTAACCATGAAAAGCAGAGATGTGACCAACTGCAAACAGAGCAAAAGGTTAGTTGTTTGACTGATTAAAGCTGACTCATAATGTCTGTAATCCTCCTTTTTCAAGAACCAGTTAAACTGTGTGAAAATCGGCTGTCAAAACCCCTCAGCAGTTGGACAGACATTTACACTAGAATAGGTCAGTTCCTATTAACCTCCTGCCACTATTCCTCTTACGTCGTAAAATGGTTAAAATATTTAAGGCTTTTGGTACCAGGCTTGGTAAGATAATCGATGACAACTGTTACCAGATGTTTGACATTTAACTCTGGAATTCGTAGTGGAAAGTAGTTGATAGTTTAAAGTTTTCTTACATTAACTTAAAATGGAGGAAGGCTTTTCAAAAAACTCCCATTAAGGAATAACTACATAAAACACAGGGTAATGAAAATGGTAAAAAATTTTGTTATTAAAAGCAAAGATCAAGACTTCAACAGAGAATACTACTGCCAGGGCATACAAAGAGGGAAAACTAACTAGTCACTTCTCTAAAAGGCTTCACAAAGGTCTGAAGATTTTTGAAGGGAAGAGAAGAACAAAACTGAAAATCAATTTACAGTGTTAATTCATAGTGAAAATATAAATCCAGCCTAAACCAGCAAGCCTAATTTGGAATTCTGTACATGGTAAGGAGGGAATCTAATATTATAAAAAGGCACGAAAAAACTTAGACCTAATCTATTTTTAAGCTACCGCTTTTTAAAAAACAACTTTTAGGAGAAGATTAAAAACATGTGGGAGGGAGGTGGTGACATGGACAAATTTGAAGTAATGAAGCCTATATAATCTAGCTGTGGACAGCAGTTAATAGGCTATTTCTAAGTACTAGTATGGATATGTCAACAGTTCTGCATGATACACCTTTAATAGGAATTTGTTGAGGGAATTTAAAACTGTTGAAACTTTCTAGTTTACTTTTGAACAGTCATCATGAAAAGGACTAGAATATTGGGTAAGAAAAAAAGAAAAGAGAAGATCTTGCTTAGAAAATTTTTTCCTGTAAAAGAATGATTTTATTTGAAGTACATGGGAGAACTAGCTTAAATCAATGAGGTGAGAATTAAATACTTAAAAGTAGGGATTTGCAGAATCATAAGCTTGGTGAATAAATCTGAATGAGCTACATAGGTACCTTTCACTGTCACTTGAGATTCTTACTTAAAAAAATGTTTGAAAGTAAGCTGCCAGTTCTAATCCAACTTAGCTTTACAGTACTGTTTTAGAACAACTTGTCAAATGGGTTTTTGATGGCTGTCCAGCAAGGATACAGTTAGACTGTGTAGGAACAAAATGTCTTGATACTTTCTCACATTTTACTGTGAATTTCTATAAGAAAAAATAATTTTGCCTTTAAGATACCAGAACGTAGCAATTAGAATTTAATTTCAGGAATGTTTGCTTGTGTTTTGTGTTGTGTGTGGTTTTTTGTGTTGTGGGGTTGGGGTTTTTTTGTTGGCTTTTTTTGTGGGTGGGGTAGTGGTTTTTTGTTTGGCCTTGTATTTTGTTGAAGTGATGATGCATTGTGAATAACTTCTCAGTTGTGTTTAGCTGACCTATAAGTAGATGTCTGAGGCTGATGCAGCTCTTTACCTGTCTAGAATACTGTGGAAGTTTTCTAACTCATGCAATTATTTTTTGTCTCTTAAGTCTTTGACACTCTCTTGTTTTACATCTTTTATGTTCTGTTCTCTGTTTCTCACTTGTTTAAAAAATGAAACAAATCTGCTGAGTTGGAAAAATCTTTGATTTGTTTATATACATAAGCATAATATAAATGGAGTGTTACTTTTGAAAATTAAACAAGCATCTACTAAATCAGGTGCAATAAGTTAACTTTTTCATCATCAGAAAGTTTATTAAACATACTTTATATGTGGCTTTCTCTGTGAACTTTGCAGTCTTAAATATGACTTACTTTCTCGCCTCCCTACCCCAATACATGAAATACAGCAGTGGGTCAAGGGATTACATGATTTATCTTTGCTGGGAACGCATACAGTGTGTTTAAAGGATTGATTTAAAGATTCCTGAGTAGTAATTATGCAGCACTTGATTGGATTGCAGTAGCTTGGTTTTATTTTCCTTGTGGTTTAAAAAACAAAACACAAAAACCAAAGAAAAAACACCCACACAAACAACCCTGCAAAATACAGCCCCCCCAACCCATAAAACAAACCCTCCAAAACCATTCCCCCAAACTCCCCCCAGCTGTCTAGTCAACTTCATGTGATGTGAATAATTGTTATTGCCAATAAACCTAAGCAATGCGTTAACTTGGATTTTTTCTTTTTTTACGTAAGACTACAAGAGATAACCTTGAAATGCTAAGTAATCAAAATATACTTCTGTTTTATGTAACAGCAGAATCGTCACCTGTGCTTAGTATAAGCTAGGTTGTTTTGATTTGGCTTATTGGGGTTTTTTGCCTTTAAGTAACAGAATGGTTGTTTTAACTAAGTAATTCTGTGGGTTTTTTACTTTCTTCTTTTATTCCTAGTGTTCTTTTGTCACATACAGGTGGATTTTTAATTATACTCTGAACTTTTGATATGTAAATAGATAAGAGTTGATGAATTTAAAATTTGTATTTTTTAAAATGTTTGACTTGGGTTAAGGTTTAACTATTTGGAGTTCTATTAAAAAAAAAAACCTCTTTCAATATACTTTAGAGCATATTAGGCTAAAGAAAAACAATTAATAAAACAAAATAGCCCAAATAAGAAATATAATTATTTTAAGCACTACATATCATTACCTTTGTAGTTTGAGGAAGTTATAAGTGATAGAGATCTTTATTTCTGTTAAAGCTAAGCTACATTTAACCCATGTATAATCTCTTAACAATGTAGTAATTTTTTTTTTCCTTTTTGCAAGTACTTCCATCAAGAAGTGCACAGATAATATTTCTGCTTGTCCAAAGAGCCCTCTAAAAACCCACAATAACACAAAGTACTCTGTTTAGAAAGCAGCAAATGCATGAGCAAAGGAAGTGGATATGTCTTCAGAGATGCATGCATTTGATTCTAGTTGAGTGCAGAGCTCTCTACGCAGCTAATGTATTGGCAACTACTATTTGTTTATTAAACATTTGTATTGTGATAAGGGGGCCCTGGAGTTATGAACCCTTTATACAAAATACTTGTCAATCGGCCTCTTTTTGAAAAAACTTACTCAGTTTCTTTGGACCAAATCATTTGCGTATCTGAGCTCGTGTCTTTGTCTTTTGATCAAATACATTATTAAGCTATCTTATATTTTTATAGTTGAATTGAACAGAATGTCGATGGTGTGATTAGGGGTTGTAGTACATAAGTTATCTTACTGTGGTACACTGTAACAAATAGAAGGTAGATTAATGATGAAAAGTTCCGATTTATAATATGAAAATGTTTTCTTAAAACACCATTCTCTCAAATCCTCTTTTTTATTCATGTTTATTTGTATGCATTTAGGCTACTTTCCTCTTTTTGGTATTGATTTTTATTGGTCCTTTGTTTTCACAAATAGCTCGGGAGTAGTTTGGATCATTGAGAAATTTCTGTAGAAACATTGATTTCTTAATATAGACAGGACGGTTGTTGACAGACAGTGTCACAGCTATATTAGTGTTTCCAATTAGTGTTTCCATCCCACTCTTGATTATTTGATCTCTCTTCCACACCTAGTTACTCTCATAGAATTCTGGGCAGTGGAATTGTTGTCTTCTGTGGCTGTTTTTTGCCTAGTTAGGATGCTTTGTAAGTGGTCCTTTAGAGGCTCTTTGGGGAAAATATTAGGAAGAAGCAAGCTAGAAATACTGTTCAGGAGATACACAATCATTTGTTGCCCTTTTAAAAGATAGCCATCTCTCTTCCTACCAAGGGTAGGAGGAACAAATTCATTCAAGACATAAAGTGATAGTGTGCTGTTAGAAACATCACTGTTTTTGAAACATAGCTTCTAATGCATGTTACGGCACTGTAAGTCACTCAAGGCTTCAATTTTTTTAGATTTGGATTTTTTTTTTTCAGTATTTTGTGTCATTGGAGTAAAAAATAGGTATTTTTAATTTGTATTCAACACATTAATGGTTCTGCAGGCATAGTTTTCTCAGGTTGTCATTGCCGCCATCACAGAACAAGCGTGTTTGCAAGACACATAGCTCTGCGCTAGTCAGTGTTTGTGCTCAGAGGGAGTGTGCTCTCCAGCCCCACAGTTTTTAGTGCACGCTTCACATGTTATGATTATTACCCTTAAGTTGTGTTAATTGCCCTACCCTGCCAAAGCTTAAGATATTGGGACAAATTAGGTTATCTTTTCCTCTTCTCTTATCCAATGGCTGCTTAACGCAGTATGTAGTTCTGACAAGATCAGTTTAGGGAGGGGAGAAGTGACTATTTCCCATTCTCCCCTTTCTTCTCCTGTCCTCTCAACGTGCACACTCCTTTTAGTCTTCTGAAAAGGGCTGTATTTTCAGTTACAGGAAAATACAGTATTCCTCTGCAGCATTTTTCATGCAAGTTAAACCATTCCTAAACTTTTTTTTCTCCTGTATGACATTAAATTAACTCTTACAGAGTGTGAAGGTTTAACTTAATCTGCTGTAACTCTGTGTGGGAATTCAAAGTAAATGCGAAATTACTTGAAATGTTCCAGAAATGTCGCATCTTTTTCTTACAAATTTCTGTTAGTGTTTCAGGGTTAATTTGTTTTTACTGGGATGAAGTTTCCTGATAGCATACTTTTATTTAGAATCATGCTATATATACAGCTTGCAACTCTTGCAACTGTACTAATACGACACTGTTAAAATAATGATGTAATTACTCACTATGATTATTTTGCTTAAGAAGATGACACACGATACATGGTCGCCAGAACTGTTTCAGGTTGCTTTCAACATTTTGACTTTTTTCCTTTTTCCTACTGAGATAACTTTTTTACTGGTACATACTGAAGTATGTTAAGTCACATTAGTAAGCTGCTTTTATTTGAATGTATTTTTTACTTGGAAAAATGGAACAACGTGA